TCAAATTTTAGATTACTGTTGTAATTTTGTATAATTTGTATTTCTTATTTATTGGAAACTGCAGCAACCTGTTTTTGATGTCATAAAATTCTCAAGAAAAGAAACCATAACTAAAATGCATCCTATGATACAGAAAATCAAAATTAGGAATTTTTTAAAATTTCTTTTTGAAATTAATACTGACATAATATGCTTGTGCTAAGACATCTGCCCCTTTCACAGGTTTTGCAGCTGGTCAGACTGACCGACAGCTTCTGTCTCTGCTGGTCAGTTAGCTTTCAAAAGTCTCTGACTGGTATTTGCCTATTAGTGGAAATGCAGATTTTCCCAAATGAGTTATGGGTTTGCCAACTAACATATGCAAGTAAAAGCATTTCTTAACCAATCAAATTAACACACTTCATCACTAGTAATGGATATGTATTTTATCAGATGACCAAATGTGTAATTAGTTAGGTTTCTAGCCAAAGGATATTCCTTCGTATTGTTTGTTCTTTCTGGATAACCTTTGTGACATACTTAATATAGACTGACAATAGTGTATGTTAAGTTCACTTACAAAGTAACAAAAAAAAAAAGATTACATACTTTGTCTCAACTAAACTTTTCACTGATGTTATCATTATGTGTTTTGGCCCTACCTAGTTTCATGGCTTGTAAACAATGTAAAATTGAAAATCTTTATATACATCCTTATCTAAGCCTTTATTTTATAAATTCCATTGTAATTTCCAGTCGTAATCTTAAAGTCATATATATATATATATATATAAACATGTTAATAATGAAAAGGGGAGATCTGGTAGTTTGAGTTGTTACAATATTGTGTCATATTAGAAATGCTAAGGGGTGAACCCTTAAGCTTAGGTGGTAGTGTACTTGCCATGGAATGTGGTTGGAGGAAGTAAAAAATTTAAATTATCACAAGAAAAATTGGCTCCCAACTAGTGGCCATCACATAAACCCTGAGATAAGACTCATAAGAGAAAAATGTGGTATTAGCAAGTGCTTTTACAATTCAATATATTCTACATCTTGCATAATTTATACTTTCATCACATTTTTTAATTGAATAATTGCCAGCAAATGGACTTCTGATGCTGTAAAGAAAGACAATATATTGCTTCCTTACTCTTGACAACAACCTCATCTTTCTGACTTATCTTACATTAAATATGTATGGAATAAAGTTGCTTGCATGAGTTTATGAAAAAAGATAGAATAAAATAGAAAGTAAAGCAGACCAAAGGTTAGGAAGTGTTTTGGTATGACCTTTGGATTGTGTCATTTAAATGATATGTTTACCTTTGTCCATTATTTAAATTCACCAAGAAAAATTTAAATTATTTACTGAAAAAATGAAGGTTTTAAATACTGAGGTTTTATTGAGAGATATAACTTGACTGGAAAAAATCAACAAGCTATGTTATTAAATCCTAAAAAGATTAGCAATAAAAAGTCCCTATTTTTTATTAAAAAGTATTGTATTACGTATCCAGAAAAGCTGCTGGTCAAAGCACTATTGCCTTCAGTTACAAAATGGTGGGCACAGCATGGATAGCCCATTGTATAGCTTTGTGCTTAAAAACAAACAAGCAAAACACTAATAATGATTGTCTTTGAAAAAGCCAAATATCCCTAACCCTAGATTTAATAATGGAAATATCTTTTTTGAATGTATTTTTCTAAACAATTTAAACATCAAATTGCTTGTGGTCCATAACTGTTGATTACAGGGTCTCTAGTAATATACTAGTAACAGAAAAAAAAAAAGAAGAAACTATCAACTCTGCTATTAATTCTGTTATTTACTGCTGGAATTCCTTGTTACTTTACACTAAAAATAGCAATTTATTTTAGTTAGATCTTTCTGAGTGTTGTAATAGGCACAAACATAAATTTAACTCGCTATGATGTAATATGTGAACCCCATTGGTAGTTAACAGTTTAAAAACAAATAACTTAAGGGTTAACTAACAAGATCTGATTGTCATCAGAAGAAAACTACAAAAAATCCTATGTGAGATGACTTTAGATGTCTACAGCAAAAAACAAAGCTTCTTAAATGATGACCTATTAAGTTAGAGAAAATCTAGTTGTTTACAAAAGTCCAAAGCATCTTAATGAGAGGAAGTTCTTTTTATTGACCCTTTCATAGCCAAGATTGTATTTTCAATTTTGCATAGAAACTTACTTAATAGTGAGGTTATATAGCATGTATATAATCTTGTTGGAGGAGTGTGGAAGCATTTACTTTTGTAAGAATAGAAAAACAAGTTGGCTTGCAATTTCATTAATGATTTTAAACTTCCAGAACTTCATTGCCATCTGGTGAATATTTTATGTAGTGTTTTTAGTTTCAGTTGTGAATATGATCATCTTAAGCTATATGAAGAAAAACTATAATTTTTAGATTAATAATTTATTTTTTGTTACCAAAAGAATTGGATGCAATTACTCATTTTTTATGTAAAATACATAACGAACCCTATCAGTAATTACTAAATTGTAACTTGAAGGTATTTTTGTTAGACTCTTTTGTGTGACTTGATATATGTTATTATGGACACTGTAACAACAAAACAATTTGTTGTGTAAATAGTTTACAAAAAATGTGTTTAAATAGCTTATAGCTCCTCATTAGTAACTGTAGTTATGAAGGATTCAGAGTTAATGAAAAGAATTGATCAAGTCTTAAGAACTTTAACTTATAAAGTTTTTTTTAGCTGGTACTAAGGACTATTTCTTGAAAATATAGAATTCAATACACAAAGGCTGAAGATTGTAACTGTCTTCAGTGCTGACCCCAGCAGGATCATTAGCTAAGTGCCACCCATCAGTGGAAGTTTTGGCCCCTTAAAACTTGGCACTTCCTTGGGGTGGTGGGTCAGCAACATATTTGTGCCACCCCCTGCTGGTGGGCTTGCTCTGCTTTCCAGATGGACATGCTTTGCTTCACTTCATCTTCACTACTCCTGAATCCCAAGTCTCTTAGCCACTCATGAAGTGAAGTTGTGATGAAACCTAAGCAACCAACTTCAAACAGATAGCATGCTCCTTTCCAGAAGTGAAGTTGTGATGCAACCTAAGCAGCCAACATCAAACGAATAGCATGCTCCTTTCCAGAAGTGAAGTTGTGATGCAACCTAAGCAGCCAACTTCAAACTGATAGCATGCTCCTTTCCATCCTCTATCCTTACAAATAGACCTCAGTTCAACATATTTGGCAAACTTCCATTCATGATCTTCCTGGATGTTATCCTCCCATGGCACAGTCAGCTCACCGAAGGTCAGTTACCACTGACTAACCAACCAGATAACACTATCTGGCCTCAGGTTTGTGACTGCAATTTCAGGTGGAAAATTTCCATCCCCTTCAAGATCTGCTGATACCTTCCAGTCATTTGCAAAGGCGAGCATGCTGCTTTTCCGTGGACTACTGCTGTAACTACCTAGCCCAAGACACTTTTTGACGAAGGTGATGAACTGTCTGGAGCCAGTTGCTACCTGTTCTTCATTAGCCTTCTGCACTCTATCTCTGACTGCATCAACAATCATTTGGAGTACGTTATTATGATACTAGGTGTATATAACGCCAGAAAGATTTGATGAGCGTGAACTCGGTATAATCTGCAACGTTCCCTTCCTACCATAAGTATGACATAAATCTGACTTGTCATCATACCAAACACTTAAGTTGGATGGTGTGGGGAGCAATCATATGTAGATTTCCAGAGGAATGAAATTCTAAGTGGCTCCATCCTCCATAGCACACTCCATGATAAAGTCTGCTGCTGTACAGACTCCAATCTTGTGCAAGCACCCTGTTTGACCTGGCCAATTGCTGTGGCTAGTTCCTTTTCAACTGATGAATTTATTTTTAGCTGACACAAGGACTATTGGTCGAAAATATTAGTATAAGGTGCTCATAAAAAACTATAAGAAATCGTTAAGAATTTCTCTATATTGGTTACTAAAATTTATACAAAGTAACATTCAATATAATATCTAATCATGTGACTTGTGTTATATAGGAAGTGAATTTCTAGAAAGAAGAAGCTAAACTTCTAAATCATTGAATCATACATACGTACACATTCAATGCATGGTGAAGATGTGGGGGTTCTGATCTGAATGCTCTTTCCCCATACATCGCTCTCCAGGTGGGGTGGGGTCTAAGGGTACACATGTCAGGTTTGGTGGCAAACAATCAACAGGAAAACCAGTTATAAGTGAGCATATACACACACACACACACACACACATGCATGTATATAATAAAAACAAATCAAGGGAAGGTATGAATGTACAGTTCTAAAACTAATTTCTTACTTACAAAGCACTTTTGGCCATCAGTGTGTATATTACTCACTTCTGTTTACCATGTAATTTGCTATATTTACGTTTTGTAAAACATGTAAGGTACATAGGGCTGTAGTTATATTTTAACTGTCTTAAAGATGCAGATTGTATTTTTCAGAAAATTACCAGCACTTTACAAATTGGTATACTTTTATTAAAATATTTATTGAGCTTTTCAAAGATTAATTTCCAATAAAAAAATAAATGCATCATGAGTGGTTCTTTGAAAAAGCATACATGAAAGAAATGCAAACTGGATTTGGATAACACAAAACATCATTCCTGTCAAAAAATGTACCATTCTGGAGGCTCATTGTAACTTCAAGGTGATAAAACCACTGTTATGGATCATTTATAAGTGACATCAAGAATGAATTGTTTCAAATAACTGATTAATACAACTTAACGTGTGAAATTAATAATGTGCGAATTCTGACTAAACAACAAATTTTAGGAATAGGTAATAATCCATAAACAACTGTTTTTTTTTCAAAACTCGTATAACAAGTGCAAGTTTTTTATCATTACTTTTATATGTAATTTTAAAAAAAGTGGCCAATTACTTCCTCCAATTTTTTATCTATAATCAGAGGTTTGTTCGAGTTTTTCTTATGTTGACACTAGGTTTTTAAGATATTCAGTGATCGTACAGGGGGTATAAAAAAAACTAAAAAGAGGAATATAATATCAAAAATAAAACAACATTAAGCAATTAATTAAAAATGTAAATTATATGATTTTTATTGGACTTGGCAATTTGAATAAAGATGTCTAAATGTTTCTTCGTTTTCCACACCATAGAATTCCATGTAACTGGGAGAATTATTCTGAACATAATTATTGTACTGTGCAGTACACATGAAACATATTCAAAGTTTTAAATGCCTTATTTGGAAAACAATATTACAGGATATTTTTCATTATGCCCTTATATATATCTATACATCATAGTTTTGTACAACCTTTCAGCCATCACTGCACTAGTGCTAATCTTAAAACTAATGAAAATACCAGTAAACACTGTTAAACTTTTCTTCTTTTTTTTTTTACAGTGGAATAAGGCAAAACTTCTAAAGACAATTATCTTGTTAAACAAACAAAGGAAATTCTTTAATTAAAGTCTAAATGATTCACAATTTATGATTGATTATTCTTAAGACATTCTTCTGGACGGATACAGTGCCCATTATGTAACACTTTATCAGCTAGGCACTGACAGCCAGGTACACATGGCTTAAAACACTGAGCTTCTAAAACACCAAATGGAACATCTTTGTTTGTGCACGTTCTTGGACAAGCAGGACCACATTCATCAAAAACTTGACCACTCTCGGAAGGACAACTGATTGCTAGACATAAAAATCCGTCAATATCACTGTATTAAAAACAACACCCAGCATATGCTGTGTAGTGTAAAGAACATTTCATTATATATTTACATAAAAATGAAATAAAAGATAATGTTGAAATTTTCAAATAAAATTCTAAATTATGTCCAACTTTGTTCTACTTATAATGGGTACACATTGTTCTGAAATGTGACAAGTTACACTCAGAAAAAAGCTTATTTCCCAAAAATTAACATCAACTTAAACTACGTTAGATTTCACTGTATTGCAAAAAAGTACTATAAACGAGACAGTTTTACAGGGGCACAATTTTTGTAAACTATTACTTTGGATTACATGACTTTGATGTTAATGTTTGGGAAATACGTTTTTTTTACAGTTTCACAACATACTTAACAATATACCATTTAGCTAACAACAATAAAGTGGACCTAACTCGTATCCATTCTACTAAAACAAAAATCTAGTGATGGAACAATTTACATAGCAAAGTTCTGGCTGTTATTTTTATATACCAGTTGAATTAATCAGAAAACGTAAACTATGTTAGGTTTCACTGTATTACAAGAAAGTACCATAAAGAAGACAGTTTTACAGGGGCACAATTTTTATAAACTATTACTTTGGAATCATACATTTCATTCCATGTAACTTTGAGAGATTTTTTTTGGTGGTTGTACTATTAACTTTTTTATCAACTATACATGCATTCTGATTCTATATAAGTTGAAACATCATGTACATTGATTACTTTTGTATATTTCCTTGTCAATCTTCAGCAGCTTATTTGAAAAGTATTAAGGATTTATTTCTGTTAATTCCTTACTTGTACCTATCATAGAATTAGTCAACAGAAATGTAACTTTTTTCTACTATTAAACCAATGTACACAGGCTCAGTCCATTGGACCGAGCATGTATTGGGGAAGCAATGTTAACTATAATTTCAAAATTACTAAGTCTATCTTCACAAAATGTAGCAAGTTTTAAGCGAAGATTACAAGTCTATTGTACACAAAAAAAATCAGGTGTGTTAAAAAAATATTTGTACTCAAGATGTGTCTGTAAATTGATTATGTCTGTTCTGATTCAGACTCTGAGAAGTCTGAATACAAGGTGAGTTCATGTGAAGAATGAGAATACTTTGTCCATTGTACAGTTTGCACATTGCATTTGCATAACCTCTAGAACTTCTGAAATGCACATCTAGTTTATTTCAGTATCCATGTATAATATGTCTGGTAATTATTCTTTTCTACATTGAACTGTCTTTAAATCAGCAAACTAGGTTAAAATGAATAGTTGATAATTCTAAGATCAAATACATAATATCATGTTGAATAGCACTCTGTAATATTTTGAGGAATATGCACATAGGGTTAATGCATACTACTATATACATGTACATACATGTGAACTCAGTAATATTAACTAGTTCATCCATATGAGTAGTATAGCCATATTCAAGGAAGAAGAAGAGTATGTTAAGTTTGTTTATGGTTCTTTTTTTTACTTGGGCAGCCTTAACTGTAAAATCATGTTGATATGGCACACTTAATTAATTAATATTGATAGTAAAACTTCATAACAAAACACTGATGGCCTTACCTCTTTGTTGCAGTTTGTTAAACCTTTTTATTTTTACATGTATTTCACATAACTTTTTATTAGATAATACTACACTGTCCTTATATACACTATATTTATATACCCTGTACGTTAACAGCAAGACTGAACATAAAGCAATGAGCATTGAAGAAAATAAATGCCAATTGTTGACTTGTACGTACCACACAGCCCAGAAGAACGCCAGTGTAGCACTACCCCAGCTTGGGAACATTCTTGAGAATAACTTGATAAAATGTCACATAAACAGTTGTCATTCTCACTACAGGCACACAGGTCATAGATGCATGCAGCAAAGTATGGTTCTGGTGGAATCACCCTGTGGCATGGAGCGAACAGGTGGTCCTTGAATTAAATGTTTAAAAATAATATATATATATATATATATAATCAGATTTTAAAAATACAACAAAATTCTACAAGACAAATTAAACGTTTTTCAAATTTAAATGTTCTGTGAGAGAGATTTGTAGTTTACACTTAGCTCTAGCCATTCAGAAATCTTCATTATTACAGTACAGACAATATAAAAAAAATAATTAAAACAAAATTATCTCATTTACATAGAACACATTTTATCTAGTCAAAGAACTAAAACATAACTTTCCAGGCTTATATTATCAGTGTAGTATGTAAAATGCAAACCAAAATAACATAAGATCAATAAACAAACAGTGGTACTAACGAAAGGTATCAAATTATATAGAATGTTTTCCCACCATCTCATGTAGTTTTTATACAAATAAATAGCAAACATTGCTTCCCACCTTTAAAACAGAACACTTGGAAATGGCAGTTCGTCTGGAATGGTATCCTCCTTCACTGCAAGGGTCAATATTAAATGCATCTTTACATGAGGATAACTGACGACCTGGGCTCTAAAAATGTTATTGAAATCACTGAATTACATCATGAATATAAAGATATTGAAACAACCTGTGATTGATATAAAAAAAACTAAAAATATTCTGCATCAGCAACTCAAGCTTATTAATGTTATCTTGCAAAATGGTTCCTATACTACATTATGACTCTAGAGCTAAAGTTGGGTATTCAAATGATTCTTTATGAATTAGCAGTCATATCTTAGCAACCTGATTCGATATATGCATAAGAGAAAATTAAAGCTTTTTTACAGAAATAGTGTTAACTGTTAAAAAACAACATAACAGTTTAATATCTATACCTTGATAATTAAATGTCAGAAATTGTAGTAGTTGCTACATGGCTTGCTGCTAAGATGGCTTAGTCCCTATAAAACTATTATTTATGTATTTATTTTACTTACTTATTTTTTTTAACATTATAATTTATGTATTTAATTTATTTTACTTATTTAATTCTTATTATTATTATTTATTTTATTTGTTTATAACATTTACTTTTATGATCTGCGACTCTAACCCATTCAACAATACTTTAAGTATGCTTCACCATGCACTGTTCCATTATATTGTTGTAGTTTTATATTCTTTTTTTTTTTTGGTTACTATCATGTAAAATCCGTTTCGTAATCTGTGACGTTCATAGACCTTTGAAAAAGGCATAAGCCGAGACATCATGTTGAATAAATAAACATTTATCTGAAGCTGTTTATCGTTTTCATTGAAAATGGTTTGATGATGTCTGAGTTTCTTGTAAAGATACTTACTTAAGATGCAGGTTTTTAGAGACAAACTTTATATTGGTTTTATTACAACACCTCATTTACGGTTTTATGAATAACATGCACATCCAGTTTTGAATGTATTACCATAGTTAATAAACAAGGCAGAAATATAAGTTCTAAAAAATTAACACTTTCTAAGATAATATTTTGTTTCTTTCTTTTATACAGCATTGGTACATGATAACATGAATTATCATAATATTTAAAATAACATTACGTAACAATGTTCAACTGAAAAGCGGAGAAGTATTCTTTAAAGAAAGATTCATTTTTTTAAAATACTAAAACTATCACTCCAGTAACAATCCCATTAAACTTACATAAGGTTACATCACCTTACAAACAGTATCAGGTTTGGCACACACTAGTCCCAACCCTTATAGTGTTGATGTACAGGAAATACATGATTTATAATAAGTTATTCAACAGCAATTCAGCATGAAATAATAAAATGAGAAATTGTAAGACTCTAGCGATACCTTCCAGTTGTTTCCAAAGTCTGCTTCTGAGGTGACAACTTCTCCTGATGGAACACGAAGGTCATCTTGTGGGAAGTTATTAAAGTTGCCACATAAACCACACATCTTACCACGGTAGGACCCTGACACACTAACTTCTGCATAACTGTCACCATTCCATAATACCTTTAGATTAAATAAAAAGTAACATCCAATGTACGTATGTAGTAGCATTCCATAATTTTTTTGATGGTTCTCAAACAAGTTGTTGTGTAATATAAATATTTATTTATATTTTGCAATTAACCCTCTCTGCTCTCTCACATTGCACTTGCTTGAAATAACATGTTTCCTATATATTATTGACTGTATATATATATACAATTATAGAAAAAAAAGTGATTGTTGCACGTTTGGTGAATGTTTGTTTTTTGAATTTTGTGCAAAGCTACTTGAGAACTACCTATGGTAGTCATCCTTAATTTTGACATAATAGACCATCCACCACCAACCCTTGGCTATGAATAATGGGATTGACCATCACTTCTGTGGTACAGCTACAGCTGAAAGTGTTGAACATGCTCAGTGGCACTACATCTCAAACCCTGAACTCTTTGATCTGCAGTCTGTTATAATAACTACAAGGACACACCCATCCAAAATTACTAAATAATTTTTAAACTTTAAATATCAGAAATAATTCAACTTTCAGAAATATAAATAATAAATAACATGCCATCATCAACAATTTTTTTAAATGTCTAACTATCCCTTCAAAGTTTCGTAAATTTATTACTTTTTTCTGAACATCTGCTTTAATAGAGTTGTTTCACATGCATTTAAGTGATGTAATATAATAAATACTTTTTTCACTATTAAACAAAACTATTTATTGCACAATAAATCTCTCACCTTCAATCCAACATCTGTGTTAACCAAAACTGACTCCCCTGTATTTTCAATGTAGAGAATGGGATCTTGGAAGAAAGGGAGCGTTACATTTTTATTGTTCACCTGAAACACAAGGACAGTAGCCACATATATATTTAAAACTAACTGGATCAAGAATATATGATGCAAAATAATTCAATAAAAAGTACATAATAAAGTTCTGCTAATTTACAATGTCACATTCATAGGAAAAAAATGAAAATAAATACAATTTGATGGGTTGGATTTCCTAATCACAACCTGCACCTTTATTTAATCAAAACTAAATATTATTGATTTGAGACAAGCCCGTGCCACTGATCAAACTTACCTAAGGACAGTCAGCTAATTGAAACACTATATAGTAAAACAATTCAAAATTTTTTATTAGCCCAATATTTCTCCTGACATCTTTGTAAGGGATATAAACCAAGCTGTGAAGTTTAAAACAACACAAAGTAGTGTTGGTTACCATTTTAAACTGAATAAATCTTATGATTCTCAATGTTCTTAGGTTAACCTTAGTTCCTTTAGGGCAAGTAATTTTTAAGATACAATAATGTTAAATATGTTTTTTTTACAATTATTCTGTATTTTTAGACTTAACTATTAGGATAGATTAAAACTAAGATTTTATGGTGCACTGGGTTAAACAAGCTGTTATATGAATGTAATACAATCAGTCAGTTGAGGAATTTTTTAACATGCAGTTATGTAAATGTTGTACACAGTTCTGTCTAAATTATGTTTTTTAGTGTAACCATCAAATACAGATTGACTTAAAATTGGTCTCTAATGCATCAGTAACAGAAAGCTTGAGACTTTGAATGAAAACTTTTGGTTTTGTGGAATTGTAGGAATGAAATACTTTTGAATTTGATTGGCTGGAAGGACTACATTGATAGCCAATAGAGGTTTACAATACCAAACTGGAAAATGTTTGATGAAATTCAAAGGTTCTGATTTAAGGTTTTAACAATAGTTGTTCATTTTTTCAAAACAATCACAATTACTTCATCCACAATTCAGTACCAATCAAGCTTTTTTATTCTTTTGTACTGTAGTGTTAGCTATCTAGCTTTTATCCTTAAGTTGTCAGAGAAAGCTAAACTTCTAACTCCCAAAGTTTAAAACAAAATAACTTATTCCTAAAGCAGTATCAAAAAATTGATTCTAATATTAAGCACACTGGTAATCTGTTACACATTCTGCAAAATCTGTAGTATTTGTTTATAGAAGCAATTTTAAACTAATTTATTCTTCCTTGCTTTATTTCACATTTTACAGACTGTCAAATGCTTTTCCAAACATACAAACACATAAAGAAGTATAAGATCATAAAGCTATCAACATTTGTATACATAATAAAATATAGAATACACAAACTGTTTGTTTCATAGCACATAAATGTTCTGAAGTTAAAAGTTGCCTCCATATATCTGCTAATTAATCTTATCCACTATGAAAAAAAACATTTATTAAGATGTACAATAAATTGATTCTACATATTAATTATCAAACAGCAATAATAAATATACTGTCTAAACACACACACACACATATGTGTGTGTATATATATATATATATATACATGCACATATATACAAAAATACATATACATTTAAGTTCATTTCTGCTTAATGTTCCTATGAATGTAACAGTATCTACACAATGTGATGAGTCTGGTACAATATGTTCTCTAATAGAATCAACCTTCAGAAAGTCCACAGTATCCTATCTTTTAATAGTTATGTTAAGTTGAAAATTTTCTGTTAAATAACCAGACAAATATATATACCGAGACAACTGGACCTTGCCATAGGTTTACAGTTATAGACTTCACAATCACTGTTATACTATCAGTCCAGGAAACTCCCTGGATTCCACGATCACTGTTCTGGACTTCAACTCTAAAGTTTCCTTCGTCACAATCTGAGGCCATAATGTAACGGCAAGTTCCTTGAAAATGGATCATCATTCCATCAAAAGTCCGGTAGTGTGGATCACCAAAAGTCACACAGGTAGCTGGTCCTGAAAGAAAATCACATTTAAATTAAATCTATTGAAATTAAATTAATAAAGTCTGGACATATTGTGTGTGTGTACAGAATAACAGTAAAAATGGATTGAAAAGTTATGACTGAGAAGGTCTATTTCATACTTACGAGGAATACACTTAGGACAACAGTGTCCTGGATCAACTGAAGGAATGTGGTCTGATGGACACTGCAGTGGTAGACACCTCTGTGTGTGACAAGAAATGTTGCCCATCTTACAGTAGCACTCTGTACATACATCAGGATTCCACCTCTCTAAATCCTATGAAGATAAAATACATTTTTTCTTGTCTGAAAAATAAGGAATCTCATAAAGTGAAATTTAAACATATGATCTCAATTAATTTTTTATTTATGATTTGTTAGTGTTTTATAACTCAACTCTTAGGGAAGTTAAATGTTGTTGTCATATTTATGTTTAGTACGACACTTGACAATGACAAGTCAACTAAATTGAATAATTATGTATTTGAGTTTTATATATCCCATTTTTAGCTGTTTCACAAAATGCGTACTTGAGCACTCCAGTTCTTGAAGTCCTATTGAGCTACCCAATATTAACATTATGCATATATGACCATACTCTTTACAGTAATTAGTCTTTAACAGTTCAAATAACAATAACTTAATATCTCAAACCCAACTAAGTACTGTCATAGTAGACCTTACTTAATGGACACAAGAATATTTTAATCACCTGTAAGAAACCTCTCACATGCAAAGAATTAAGTATTATTGAAACTATTAAAAAAACTTGCAAAAATTCATTCTATATTCTTATTATGCCAATTAAATCTCACTTGGAAAGTTCTGCCTCCATAAAAACATGTCATTCGTTGAGCAGGAACACACACTTCACAGCACTTGCCAACTGGAACTAGTCTAGTCTCACTATCAAGGCAAGTCACTTTGGAGCACTTGATGAAGTCACAAGATATATCTCCATACTAGTAACAAGAAATGAAATGAAAGTAAAATATTTAATATTCCATATTAGATTCTACGTTTACAAAAGGTTGTTCACAATCTTTGGTAACAATCTGCATATCCTATTACCTTGCTTCTGGCTTGTGACTCCACGTGCAAGTTAAAATCTCTGACTCTCCTATTTTATTTTTCTTTTAAGTCTGGCAGTTTCATATTGCACAGTGTGTCTTCAGATGCAGTCACTTGACTGATTAAGAAAAGCATCATTGGCTGAAGTACACTGGGTGTCTTCAGATGCAGTCACATGACTGATTAAAAAAGCATCCTCAGCTGAAGTACACTAGGTGTCTTCAGATACAGTCCCATGACTGATTAAAAAAGCATCCTCAGCTGAAGTACACTAGGTGTCTTCAGATACAGTCCCATGACTGATTAAAAAAGCATCCTCAGCTGAAGTACGCTAGGTGTCTTCAGATACAGTCGCATGACTAATTAAAAAAGCATCATGAGCTGAGGTTCTTTAGATGACTCTCTGATGTGAAATTATCTTATTCCATATTTATAAAAGCATACACAGAATGGCATTTAAGCATTTTGAAGAAAGAGATTTCTATAGTGTTAAACCATATCAGAAAAGTTCAGGAAAAAACATACTACCAAGTACTTCATGATCAGTCACACAGTGGAAGTAGTGAAGGAAACTAAACACCTTATAACCAGAAGTAATTCAAGAACAGAGTGGTCCCTTACAGCTATTGTTCTCTTGGAAATTAAAATAATCCACCAGACTTCAGTCTACAAGTATGACCTAACCCCTTCCATGTCAGGCTTTTTTGTGTGGTAATGTGCTAAGAAAAAAGTCAGGTTCTTTTATTTCGCTTTTTAATAGCCTATAATTTTATGTCTTAATGAAACAAAAGTTATTTTATGATCTGTTATTATGTTTCTACACAAAATATAATCGATAAATAAATTTTACATATCTGGATTAATACATGGCATATATTATTTCAATGGAATTACACTAAAGAATTATAATACTTTTTTTTCCAGTATTTATGATACATAATTATAAATAAATCTGATAGAGATCAGCATAAACAGCATTTCTGATGTCATCTAGTGAGCACTAATTGTAATACATCATAACAAGTGAATATATTTGGGCAAATAATTAAACACATGACAAGAAATAGTTTACCTAAATTAACTTGGGCAAATATTTTTTTGAAACGTGGAAGGTGCCCAAGTTATCTCAGACAAGTCAAAGAAGGGAGTAAAAGCTGGACTCATTAGCTTCTCCCACTGCACACAGAAAAAATAGATGTACAACTGTAGAAAGCAGAATGAGTTATCTGGCATATGACAAACAGTAGTATGTTGTCACATTAGACAAAGCAGATGCAACAAAGTCTGGGTGATTTGTTATTATCCTGCTGGTGACACAATATTTAAAAAAAAAGTACAAAGTATGTCCTAAAAGTGGTGGTTGCAAATTGCAGTTATAACTTACTAAAGTTAAACCATTGGAGGGTCAAGAAAAATGCATGCTATCAGGTCACTGTGCTGATACCAAAGTCCTGTGAAGAAATATCTGTTTTTCTATGTGCTGTATGTCAGTAGAATTAAGCATTTAACTATACATCCAAGTCAGCATGCCAATTCCTATGTAAGTACAGGAACTCATGCTATAACACTTATAAACATATCAGTTAAATAATAAGATGCATCTCCTTTAGGTTGCTCACAGAAGTAAAGTCTAGGATAATAAGCTTATATTATACTGACAGCAGTAGGGGGTCTAAAAGAACCAGCTTACTACAGCACTTACATAGCAGCAGAGATCTAGAAGAATCCACTTATACTAACACAGCAGCAGGGGTCTAGAAGAATCAAATCTTAATTACAATAACATAGTAGCAAGGGTCTAGAATTACTATCATATATATTAGCAAAATAACAGGAGTCTAGGTTAATCAATGTGTATTTCAATACCACACTAGCACAGTAAAATATATCTAAATATTAATATTTAATCAATATCATAGAATCTATAATAATCAACTTACATTACACTAATAAAGTAGAAGCCTAGAATGATTAACTTACATTACACTGACATAATAAACATGGATCTAATATAGATGTCCAATTTTCACCAGTTTGATAGGTCTTTCCTTCATCTGTTAAACACACTGAAAAAAACAAATACACAAATGTACTGAAATGATGACTTGACATAATGTTACAGCATCCTGTAATGTGAGATTTTTTACCATTATCTTATGCAAGATTCACATTTAAATTGTTTTAGGTTATTGTAATAATAATTTTCGTTTTAATAAATGATAAAATAAATATTTAATGACATATAAGCAATATAATTCCTTGAGTGAAAATGCAGCTTCTGTGGAGAACATCTCTTAACTAAGCACGTGTCCAGCCAGTTTGAAAATAATCAGGTTTTCATCCAATGACAAAAGAAAATAACTTTAATTTTTTAAAGCCATTTTGTTTATTAACAGTTCAAATGGAAGCATTTTGCTAATTGAGAAATTTACTACTTTAACTGAAAGAATGAAGTAAATTTAGCCAAAACTGGTTCCAGCACACTCTGTTTAACTTAAGAATCTTCATTTAAAAGTCAGAGTGTGAAATAGTTTGAATAACAATGAGCACAGTCCTTGCCTAAAAATAAGATTTTTATTTCAGTATACCAAGTGAAAACAAGTTGTTATGAAGATAAACAACCACATGTTAATCCTACAGGGCTCCATCTAGATTTGTTACCATATAGAATATTATTTGTATTACTGGATGTGTGTGTTTTTCATAACCAATCCTAGCTGTTAAAGATCTCAACTAATAATTTACTGCCAGTTTTGTAGAACATATTTGTATTGCAAATGAATTATTTATAGATATATCATGTATTATGTTTAAATTATTTTTATGAAGAACTTGTCAAACTAAATTGGTATTTACTTATTTATGGATAAACTAGTAAATATATTCAAAAACATTTTAAATACTATTTCAATACTTTGCTGGATTTACTTAGCCTCAGCAGATGGCAAGCTTTGTTTTTTAAACATATTCACTTGTATATATATGTACAAACACACACACACACATGACCTTGCAAGTTAAGTTTTATTATACTGAACTTTACACAGGTATGTGACCAGAATGGGTGCTGGACTGTTTAACTTAAAGGGATATGTTTTACACATAGCTTAGTGGTTTGTTTTTAATAATGTAAAGTGTTTACCTCTAATTCTATTTCTTTTTCTCACAATACGTAACACTAGTTGGTTTTCAAATTAAAAGCAAAATCCAGTGATTTGTTTGTTTGTTATTAAGTACAAAGCTACAAAATGGGCTATCTGTGCTGTGCCCACTACGAGTATTGAAACCTAGTTATTTAGGGTGATAAGTCTACAGACTTACTGCTGAGCCAATAGGGAGTGAATCCAATGAAGGTAAGGAATTACTGACTTTAGATTCTGAATTTTTTTTATGTGGATATAAGTCCTGATTTTATTGAATAAACGCATTATACATATTAATCAATAAGAGATCAGATGGAAATGAATCATGTACGAGTAACGTGCATAAATTAAAAGACATAACTCATGTTAGCAAATATTTTGTATATTCCTCCTAAACTCTTCCTGTAAGTCTGTATTTCTCATTCTCATTTTAACATGCATTTTATCACTAATTCCAAAATGTTTTAAACAAACCTTTACACTTTGGACAACATTCATTTTTATTATGATAAATCTCTTGTGGTGGACATTGAAGTCTTTCACAAGTTTCCTGCAAGCAGAGCCAGTTGAAGTCATCCTTAGAACAAAACGAGAAAGAAAAGATAATCATTATAACATAGAAATATATATATTAATTACTTAGTTACATGGAAAATTATACTCTATTACCAGTTGGAAGAGATGGTTATGTTATACAAATTATTATTACTCCAAAATATATTGTTTCTTTAATGCCTAGGAAATGGCCTAAAAGTTAGTATTTAGCACTTTTTTTTTTCTTCACAAACCAATGCTAGAATAAACTATCTGACTTTAACTATCTAGAATACTTATACTGTAGGTGTTTTGAAAGTATAGTTCCACAGGGAAACAAGTCTTTTCACATATGTGTTTGCTCAAAAAGTGGTATGCTTGTTGATGAGAAAAGGTCCTTGATGTACCATACTCATCCTCCAGGATCAATAAATTGAGTAAATAGTTTGAAAAGTCTTATTTCCCTGTAAGGCTAGGCTTGGGACATGCTACAGTACAATGGAATAAAAAGCTGTTACAGATATGTTAGGGGCATAATTTAATATTACGTGTTAAATAAAAAACTCCTTGAAACAATTTAATTACAAAATTACTTTTGCATTTTACATCAAACACTTCAACAGCTGTAATTGAAACATTAACACTTAACTTGAGACAATACTTTAAAGGTAAATCTAGAACAACAGAGTATTGTTTTTGATATTGAAGCAATAACATTTTAGAGAAAAAAAAATGAGCTGTAAGCAAAAGAAGAGCTTAAAGTCAAGTTGCCCATTGTTTTTAAAAGTGACTAAATTTTAGATCTGATGTCTTACCTTACAAGTACATGTAAAGCAGGGGTCACTACTTGGATGAACCACCATATCAAGATGCTCTAAAGTGCAATTAGTTCCAAAACCTGCACAAGTTGGACAACACTCTCTTTCTCCTGGTGATCTGATGGCTTCAAGTGGACAGTCCAGCAGTGATGGACATTGCTGAGTAATACAGAGAAGTTGTCCTGCCTCACATGAACAAATATCACAAGGGTTTTCATTGGGTGTGAAAGTCTCTCCATTCTGGTAGCTTTTTCCATTCATTTCACAATCTGATTAAGAACAAGCAGGACTTAACACCAATCTACAAAAACTGGTGTTTATAAATGAAACTTGTTTTTTATTCTTTATTACTAATAATAATAACAAGAGAAATAAGAAATTCAAACAAAATAAACCTTTTAAAAATTCCAAGTTAGCTTGTTAATTCATAATAATACAGAGTTGTAAGTGAAATAGGTGTACATAGTGATGACTATCATCTTACTTGCCATATCTCAACCCATGTGAGTTTTTCTTTCATGGCTTCTTAAACAAATATTTCAACGAAATAACCTAATTGATAAATGAAGTCGGCCATTGTAGCCCAGTGAACTATGGATAAGTTTAAATTATAGCTGAAAGTGACTTTCAAGCACATCAAACTTGTCATGACATAAACACAAACCCAAGAATTTCTTCAACCTCCTAGTTTTAGGGATCATTGGAATAATTTGTTTTGTTTGTTTGTTTTTGAATTTTGTGCAAAGCTACATGAGGGCTATCTGTGCAATCCATCCCTAATTTAGCAGTGTAGGACTAGAGGGATGGCAGCTAGTCATCACCATCCACTGCTAACTCTTGGGCTACTCTTTTACCAACGAATAGTGGGATTGACCGTCACATTATAATGCCCCCATGCCTGAAAGGGCAAGTATGTTTGGTGGGATGGGAATTCGAACCCACGACCTGCAGATTGCAAGTCGAGGGAATAATTTGTAATAAATTTTTAGCACCTATTAAACATAGAAACTTCTGTCATAGACACTCTCCAGAATGGAATTTAAATCTAACTTTGTAAACACTTCTTAAATTGATACTAAAATACACATTATTACACTTTAGACACCATATAACAGTGTACTGGAATCTTTCTTTTTTCTTCTAAATTCACATAAAATGTGAGAAGAAGCAAATGAACAGTAGAGTTAAATATGAATTATATTTCATACAGTACATTCACATTTGACAAGATATACACTAATGAAATCAATAAAAACTCTTTTTTTTTCTACAGAAAAAAAAAAGGATAAAGGATAAAACACTAATTGATGAATAACACCAAAACTTTTTAGTTCAAGTAGTTGGACTGATATCAAAATATTTACAAGAATAAAGTACATATACATGTTGCTATTTTTTTATTTTTTTTTTACAAAAGGGAAATAATAACATCAATGACTTTTTCAAACAAACCTTTGTTAATTTAATGGAAAAAAAAATGACCTCATATTTTCCCCAAAAAACTTTCAGCTAGATGAAGGAATTTTATTCATCTTCAAAGTTTTTGGTGGAGGCTCTATCTACCCATTTGAGTTTCTTTGGAGATAGTGTTTTGATATGTTAATCTGATTCCTATCAATAAGCTTTCACTGACAATGAATACTAACACTATGACCAAATATAGTACAAACAAAAAGTACTGCCTGTAATTTTATTTAAAAAACAATGACATTAATTTGTCCCTTTTCAAATCTAATTTAAAACTTATCACAAGTCTTGTGTACCACTGTGATAGTTCTAATACAGCTGTAAATTCAAATTTACTTTTTTTTCTTCAAACGTTCCATGGAATAGAGTTCAAATGTAATGATTTGCCTATCCACATGAGATTGAAAAGGCTCTGACCTGTATACCATTTGTGACTTGGGCTGATTGAAAAGAAACCTCATTCTGCATGATAACATGCTTTGTCTGGTAAGTTGATAATTAGCATAGACTGGCAGAATATCTGGCTCAAAAATCACTAGCATTTGTAATCATCCAGCTTCCAAAATAGCTCTCCATAACATAACAAGAACACCATCATATTTTGTCATGGTTTGTGGGACATTCAAGAAAATTCTGGGGAGGATAGTTGCAACATTAATGCGCATCCATTATCTGATAATTTTACACATTTGGACTCACCAGAAAATATTACAGTGTCACAAAGAGCAGGAGGATGTGACATCATCTATGCACCCATTATGGTCAACATTGCCTGGAGTGAGGATTGATTTCTGTTTAGCCACTCTGCCACTGTAGCCCATGTTACAAATACAATTTTTGATAGTATTAGTGTACAATTGTACATGTCATGTAGCAGTAGCAGCCATCTGATATGGACAGTTCTCCATATTTCTTCTCAGAGCACAAAAAGTACTTTTTGTTAGTTTGAGTTGCCTGGGCTGTGCAGAAACTGTTGTTTTCCAACATGAATGGAAATGCTTGTTATCCTATTCATTATGAACAATGGTACTGCAAATGACTTGACAATTTCTTACTAAGTTTGACCTCCCTCTCATCACCCAACTATGCAATATCTTGATAATAAGGTTAATTTCTGGGATCCTTTAGTTCATAGCACAGTGTCATGTGCAGATAACTCCAACATATAATTTCAGGTATAGTGCTGTAAAGAACAAAGAACTCAAACAGTTAAAAAACTCAAAACTGTAGATGTGGCATTATGGTAAATGATGAGAAAATGCCAACATTTTATTTTTTACTTTTCTAGTAGTAGATTCTTTTTTTCTCAGAGATATTGCAAATATTCTGATAGAATCATAATCTCCATGAAATTATTCTAGGATGGTCAAACACACTAAAATCACTTTTTATGAACGTCTTATTATTTGCTTATTGAAAACATTTTTCTTTATGTAACTGCTACCTCTCGAGAATAAAAGGTATAAGTCTGTCATTTTGTGTATATTGACCTCTATTACCTGATATTTTTGTGAAAAAATTCGATTGTTTTTTCTTGTATTTCAATAAGATACTACATGAATTCTAACTATGATACTGACTTTTTGTCTGGCCTACAAGCCCTCTTCTACTTGTTTTATCTGGCTTTGCTCCCCTTCGGAAGTCTTTAGTAATTTCATCAATTTTGTAAAATAATTTGGTTTTTCAGATGTGTAATTTAATTAAGTCTAAATTATATGAAGGTTTTTCTGCTATTTTTAGAGTGATGTAATCAGTTTGTCTAGGTTAGTAGTCAAATAAAGCGAAAAAAAATTATAGAAATATAAATACGTTTATGTACTCAATTTTAATAGTTGTTAGCTTTAATTGTAATATACAGCTAATAAATTTGTTTAAATTTGAGGAATATATATAAAAAAAACTTTTGATTTTATGTGCAATTAAATTTGCCTTAATATAGAATTTATATATATTCCTTCTTTTTTTTAAACATACAACTGATAAAAATTAGAAGTTCATAAAGTATTCTTAGGAACAAGAACTTCAATATTTTCTCTATTTATATTTTTGAGCAAGTATTGTAAAACCCATATCTAAAAAAAGGTTAAGAATAAACTTGTCAAATTTATTTACATTTATTTTGTTCTTTTATATTTATTATGTTATCTTTTGTCCTTCCCCACTCATCCACTATATTTCAAAGTAACTGTAGGACAAATGAAATTATCTTAATAAGTATGCAAATGCATTTATTAAAAGCAAGACTGAATATACAGAGCCTACCAATAAGAAAATAATTTTCCCCTAGACTTGGAAAAACAGAATGATGTCTAAAAACTTTTTTCTAAATTTATGTAATGGAAAATTTATGTATTTTCAATTTAATTTTTCCATGAAAGTTAAAACCCACAAAACAAGTTTCAGTGTAGAACCGCAAAAGATAATTCCCACGAATATTAAGTAAACTACAGTATTTCAATCCAACTTCAACTTGTATTACTTAGATATTTTGATATGTCATTCAGTACCTTGGAAGATTATTTTTCTGTTAAAAACTACAAACATTTTTGATACTATAAGCCAAACTACGCCGAAAAAAAAATAATTCATTGTGCGTTTGTTCCAGCATGTTGCACAGATAGACTGCAGCCACTGGACTTGTCAGTAAACAAAGAGTTTAAAGATGACCTGAAAAATTGCTTCTATCAGTGGTATTCCAGCAAAGTTATGTATTTTTTTTGGGGAGACAGCCAATGTATGGAGAACCAGCATGTGGCCACTGACACACAGACAGCCATTTTGAAACCAATCTGCACATGTTCGCTTATTAAAAGCCATGAGGTAATTAATAAATGACATGAACTGATCAAATCAGGTTATATTGAAGCAGGTTTCCAATGATTATCATTTATATGTTCTCATTGATTGTTGTGTGTAAAAAATACTTATTATGTAATCAACTCATGCATGACATTTCATTTTCATAGTGCTGTGTTTCATGAATGTGCAAAGAATAAATAATATTTGCTTGTATATATATCTGTTTGGGTTTCATTTATCATTTATTATCCATAAAAGCTTTTTATTTTGCTGGAACTATTGTTCATGAAAATGTACGTACCACGAAAATAGTGAAAGTTAATTCCAAGCAAATAATAAGTAATTTACAAAGATTAAAAGAATTATATGAGCACTGTAAATATAGGAGATGAACTTGGAACATTTAAGAACCGTTTTTATTTATGTATCTTCGTTTTATTCTTTTTTTTTTGTTACATGTTCTATAGTATATGAAATAAATTTATTTCATCTGGGAATACGTTTAGGGTCATTAAAGTTACAGTTATAGTTATAACTGTAGGTTATAGTTAGGTTATAGTTGATCACATTATCATTTTGCTTATCTTAGTCTTTTTATTATTTGTTTATTTTCTTTCATGTGTTTGTTTGTTGGATTATAAATAAATAAAACAAATCTACTATTGATCTTTGTTATACCAAAGATATAAAAAAAAGAACTTATTATTTTTAACCCTAAAAACAAAAACTAATATAAAACAAACTTAAAAACAAGCAAATAGAAAATAGATCAAGATAAGCACAATAAACAGTGATCATTCACAATGACCTTTATGACCCCAAATGATATATATAAACTTATTAAATGGTCTAAATTCCTCTCTTCTGTCATATTCACAGAACTAAATCATTTGCACCTCATTATGCTCAAATAGGTGTCTTATCTTTCTTATCTTTTTTCAGACTTTCCTCAACTTGTACTGTAGGGAGAGGTTTTTCTGTTGAAAACTAGTTCAAATATTCAAAAAGGGTTTTGGAATTATGGTGATTAAAGAAGAAATTCCATCGTTTTTGAACGTTTTTTTCAGTAGTATGTTCCTTTTTTTTTAGAAATAATGCTGTAAAACAGTCAAAATATTCAAACAGAATCATAACTTACATTAAATTCTCTTTTACTAAGAGGGTTAAACATGTTAAAAACATGCATATTCAAAATTCTTTTTCGTATAAAACAGCACTCTCTCTGGATAAAATCAAAACATCTACCATTTTGTCTCTGCTGACCCCATTGACCTTAAATTAGTGCAAAAATTCAATTTTTCTTGTGAATTTCAATGAAATATTACTAAAGTGCTAACTCCGATAATGACTTTTAGTTACTGATCATGCCATTCCTCTTTTAATTACTATTGCAAGAGCATTTATTCTTTTTCATTTCACTCAGCTTCAGATATCTTTCAACATGAGAAGAAATAAGTCAAAAATCTTGTACAATCACAGTTAAGAGTTCAAATAAAGATAAAGACAACACCCTTAAAAGATGACGTAAATGAGTTGGATATGATTTAGGTAATATGTCACAAATTATTAAATGGAAAAATACTTTATTTATTGCTTCCTCTTAGCAATCTTTTAAAGTTTATATAAGTGAAAATAGTTAAAAATTAAAATGTTTAAAAATATAGCTGTTTAGTCGCAGGCACAGCTCACAATATTTGTGACATATACGGCAGAAAAATACTTAAGATTATTACAAATCACCTTCTCCACTAAAATTATCACATAATCTGACCTGGACACATTGGACAACAATGACCGGGTACAGGCACTGGATTTTCACATGGGACAATACAATGGAGTTCTCCACAGGTCACAACCCCACCTTGACATTGGCATGACATGCAGGGGTTTGTTACTGATGTCCAACTGACACCATTTTCATACTGTTTTCCTTCATAAACACAACCTATAAACAAAATATTCATTTAATATTATTTATTAACAAAGTTTATATAGTTTTAATACCTAATATTGCTAGAATTTATATTTCTTAAATATAAGTTTTGAAACATCATTTAGTTATAAAATTTTGTTGTAAACAAACTTTAGAAATTTTTCATTAAATAATGTGATTTATAAAAAATCCTTTTTAAAACTGGTTATAAGTTTTTGAGTGCCATGATACAGTTCCACCTGATGCCTGTCAAAACAGTAAGATAATAAATTTCAAAGATAAATCTGTATGTATTCAGATTTCTGTTGTTACCAGAGAGAGAGGTTTATTACAACTTGTAAAACTACAATGTTCTGCCATTTTCCAATTTCAGCACGGGAAAACAAGAAGAATTAGATGTTAGACAGCATCATTTGATATCATGAATAATCATGTGAAGTAAATTTTCAGTAACATCAGAATTATCGAAATATGATTTTTATACTGTCCTTAAAAAAAACCAACTGAATTAGAAGGCTATCAGATGTGGAAAATGTGTACACTAAATTACTGGAAAAAAAAATATACAAAAAATTAATACTCCTTGATTATGAATAGTCAAAACTTTACACTAAACTGGAATGTTATCAAAACACTTTGTTACTGAACTTTATAGCATTCCTTGTTTTTGCAATAAAAGTTGAGAAATTATTATATTTACTTACAGTTATATGAAAAGATATGTTTGTGTAACAATATCTTATGCATTTTTCCTCAGTCTCTAGTTTTGTCATAACAGTTGTAAAATAACTATATTAAGTAACCAAATGTGTGTCAAAAACAAATTAACTACCAAAAAATAGAGTATTATTCATTACTTTCTATTAATCAGAGCTACAAGGTTCTAGATTATTTTTATAGATTAAAAATGCATCACTCGTTCTAGTGGTGAACTAAGTTTTTATAGAAGCATTGAATATAAAACTAGTAACTCTTTATTTCTTGCCTTTTCTCTACTGTTCATACCTGAAGTGACTATCTTTTAATCCTATCCTAAAAGAAATAAAGACATCACATTTCTAATAATTAATTTAACAATGTACTAACACTGATATCATTTAAATACGTAAGACTAACAGCAAAAGAATGCATGAATCTATGTAGAAACATTTCCTAATATTTTAATCATAATTCATCAAATAAAAACATTTTCTGCAGCCTAGTACGTGTCATTACATAATGTGCTTGTACGTGTGACTAATGTTTTGTGTTTCTTCTTCCTTAATACAGATGATCGGTATTGTATGATCTAGATAAAAAAATCAAAAAGAGAAATGAGAACTCATATTTATGTGCATTTAATTTCTGTATTCATATAAATTCTTGAATACCTTACACACTATATAAAACACTAGGTAAATCAAAGTGCTGAACAAGGAAAAATTGAGCATAACTGCTCCAGTATTTAAGACTTGTCAACTAAACATATAACAAAATATTTGAAAAACAAGCCTTAAAAAAATTGCATAAAATCAATTCTAGAATGATTTATTTACACCTCTAAACTAAATTTCTATTTAATGAAATAGTAATGTTGCATCTTGTGATTAGAGCTACATTTATGCATAGGTACAGTAAGCAGCTGCCAAGGGCAGCAAATTTAAAAGGGGTGGCAAATATAGGAACCTTGAACAAAAGTGGCAACACAAATTTGATTAATTATGTTCTTATTTAATTTTGTAATGCAGGGGTGCCACAACCCACCACACTAAATCAAGAGACTAATCAAGGGCACTGAGAGATCACGTGGAGATGGGGACAGTAAAAAAAATATCTGTGTAGAGTTGCACTATACCTTAATGCAACCCTGATTGTGATCATGAAATAACAGCATGATGTTCCATAAGCCAAAGTTTGTATAATTAGTCACTTATAGGAGCAGCTACTAATTCTAGTCATTTAATGCTTCCATTATGTAGTACAATCATAATTAAAGGTAAGTTAAAGAAAAAATGTCCAAAATAAAATGGACTTTTCCTAACAGTAATTTATATCTAAATACATTAATTATTATTAAAGACAATTTATCAGATAAAACTAACGACAAAATAGAAACTATATTCAGTTTTTTATATTTTAGGCACCTTATAAAATATCATAATAGCTACTGCAGGTAAATTAGCATAATGCTAAATATTATTACCCATCTGTCAGTTATATATGCCTCAGACTAGACAAAGTTATGCAATCTTAGAAGACTGTCTAAAACATTTTGAGAGCTTACTAAGACACATACAAAACTTGTCCTCAGTTGACACTAGGTACACAAAACACTTTTTATGATATAAATATTATTTGCTTTCACTGTTTTCAAAGATGTAAATTATATAAAAATATGCATACTCTCAGATAGTTTAATTATGGAAAAAGCCTCAATAGTTGAGTTTGGAAATATTTTAGGTCTGAACATAATATTAAAACCTTACATGAAGAGGGTCTTACCATTACATTAGATGTTAAAGTTGTTTAAACAAACTGGCCAAATTATCATACAGAAACAAACACACACACGCACACATACATACACAACATATACAAAAATACTAGCTTACAATCATGATGTATCAAAATTGCTTTGTCTTCTATAGAGAGTGAAATTTCCTTTTATTATGTTTTTTTTTATTTCATTAATATTTTTTAACTTTATTTTATTATTTTAACTTAGAGTACCTCAATACTTTTGCTTGTTTTGTTGAATTTCACACAAAGCTACATAAGGCCTATTTGCATTAGTCATCTCTAATTTTAAAGTGATAGACTAGAAAGAAGGCAGCTAGTCAACACCACCCACCACCAACTCTTGGGCTACTTTTTACCAATGAATAGTGGTATTGACTATCACATTATAATGCTCCCATGGGTGAAAGGGCAAGCATGTTCAGGGAAGGTATTTGAACCTGTGACCTTCAGTTTGTGAGTCAAGTGTCCTAACCACCAGGCTATGCCAGGCCCTGCCAACTGTTAGGCGACTGTTGTCAGACAAAATAGTGTGATGCAACCATCACTGTTATAATGTACCCACAGCCTTAAGGTGTGAAACATAATTTTTTTTTTTCTAGCTGTAACAGGAAGCAAATCAAATAACCTTAGATCCATAATCTGGCACATTAACCAATGTGCCACAATCAGCTCACACCTCAATAAGAGACATGAATTTTGGTTTGTTATAAATTATTTTATTAAAAATGTAATTTAATTCAAAGCATTCTTAAGATTCCCAACTGAAGTGACTTTCACCATATCTGAAGAGGAATTTTTATAAATTAGAAATGAATTGTATAAATCATAGATACTCACCTCGACAAACTTCACAGCACTGCCCTGGAACTTTGATTCTTAACACACAGTTTAACTCTGGGCAGGCTTCTTCCACACAATGAACATTTCCATTCTATAAAATAAATAAAAATATTAGCAAAAAAATAAATATTATTTTATTTATTAGAAGTGTATAAATATTTTAGGTGTCCTAAAATAATTAAGTAACTTTTGCTGAAGCTATGGAAATATCAATACACATACAAGAAATTACTGCAATAATTTTTAAGGACTTAAAAACTTTGTTTATGTGAAAAAGTAGGGTGCCTTAAATATGTTAACAACACATACAAAATATAATTTTTAATAATAACACAAGATGAAACTGAGCATATACTGATGTTGGATAATGTCACTAATTGAAGAAATAATATAGTATAAATAAATACATGATCAAACAGCAAACATGAATAAATATAAGTTATATAACAGAAAGAATACCATTGGAAAAATCTAGAACAAAAACGAATAAATATTAAATCAATGAACTTTTCAAATATATTGAAATTAAATGATACTGGGAAAATATAAATATTTTTCATATGACAACAATAGGTAAAACAAAGTTTTGGTTCAAGTTAAAAGTAAATGTGAATAAAAAGTGTATTAAAGTTAAAAAGAGGAAATCAGTCCCCAGTGGGTCAACAGCAACTTTATAGACTTTAAACCTTTCACTCGAAAAAGAAATGAAAAAAATTATTTAACCTTTGATCTACGTAGTAGGTAAATACGCAATACCATGTAAAATAAACAAAGGATGTGTTGGCTCTATTCTAAAACTCTTTACTAATGCAACAAACACAGCAAGTTATATATCAGCTTTGGATGTTGTAACTTCATAATAATAGAATAACATTTCTTTTAATGTTACTTAATTATATTAAATTCAGCTAAATTAAGAGTTTAAAAACATCAGTCATGCCTTTACATTTGTCACTTGGTATTTCATCTGTATAGATTTTGCCAATAAAACATTAAAACTAAAAATCTTTAATTTACTCAGGTGTTAAATATTTCTGTGTACGAAATTTTGTTGAAAATTTTCTATATAAAATTTCAGTTAAACTTTGGAATGTTTTAAATTTTAAAAACCTAAATTAGAATGTACATTTCTTTATGCACACAACTAACAAGAAACAATATTAAGATGATAAATCTATAACAAATTAAATGAAAATATGAAACTTTAGTTAAAGATTAAGAAAGAGTTGCAATTTTAACACTCTACAAGAATTTGTTTATGAGTATTACTCACTGTACAAATGCAATTTCGGCAAAGATCTGGTGCAAAGTGTTTTCCATTTTCATATTCAGTATTCTCAAATAAACAGGAATCACAAATGGGACAACAAGAATATGGTGTTGGATGTGAGCAAGAGTGCTGACAGGATGACTTGCTACAAATTATTTCAGATTGCTGCAGGGTGAAAGAGAAAAATAAAACATGGACAAACCAAGTAATTTGGGTTCATTTTCCCCAATCAATAATCCATGCTTCTACACTATTTTTAATATTTGCGTTGGTAAAAAATCGTATTTTTCTTTAATTTATACAATAATTCTTAATGATCCGTTAATAAAGATTTTTAAGTACATAACTTAGTCTTAAAATTATATAATTAACTGTATTCTAAATAAATGAATCATAAACCATATATTCAAGATATTAATTGCAGCAGAAGTAATACATTTACAGTCTCTCAAACAAATTTAAACTAAGTTATTTATCCTTTTTTTTAAGCATTTTAACTCTTAGTTTTATGACTTTTTGATTACATAAATATTCATAAATCAGCTTCGTACACAAGTTAAATCTATCTATAAACTATTACATATTTAAAAAATGTACAGAAAGACAACCCAATTTTAGATCTTCACACTGCAATCTTCATGAGATGTAACAACAAACAAGAACTTTATAGCAGTCTTTTAACAGCACACAGAAACAGTTGTGAAAATATATTTACCGCACAAGTACATTCTTCACAAGTATTTTTAGGATTAATAAAATGGTCTCCATCCTTGTAAGATACACCATTCACAACACAACCTAGAAAAGATCAAATGAATTATACATGAATTAGAATATTCAAATAACTTTTAAACACAATGGTTACAGAGTTTTAATTAATAAACATATATATATATTTCATAGGTTAAGCAGTGAACAGTGTTCTCTCATTTTAAAATAATGATAACACCTCATACACATATATATTATCAGATTTTAACATTATCCAGCAAGTAGGGTTTACATCTGATGCAGATCACATTTTCCTCTTATAAACAATTGCCAATTATCTTTTTAAAGCAGTGAAGTAATTAAGATATGCTAAATTAATTAAACAAGATTTAAAGTGTTTGATTAGAATTCAAAATGCTACAAAACATTTTCATCTCATTGTTTTGGAGAAATATATGTCAATTCTGGGAATCTATCACCATGTGCAGTACATCTACATAGTACCATGGTACTTACATACACTTGCTCTGACAACTAAGCTAATGTGAGAGGTAATAATAACCAAAAATAAGAAAGAGAGATATTTACAAAATAAGTTACTTTTTATGTATTTTTCTCCAATTCCAGGATAACTTGATTCTCATAGCAAAAAAAAGACAACATAGTGAAACTCAAACTATACAATTTTGTTTGCACACTAATAAAACCTGACTAATATTCATACATATTATATATATTTGTGTATACATGAATGTAGACCTCCGTTTGATTATGAAATGACCAAAAAGGTGTTTGTAAAAAGCAATTATTCTTGGAATGCCATTAGAGGTCTAGTACTAATGGTATCAACAGATATTCCAGTATATATATTCTTAGAGAGTACTATTTGTCTACACTATGAAAACAGCTTTTTTTTCTTCTTCAGATTACACAGGCCTGCGATGGTTTTATTGACTTAAAATTTTTATATGTTCTACAGTAATTCCTGTACATTGAATCCGAAAATGATATCCATTTTTCTCCATAATGTACAGATTTTTCAAAAAACATCATATGTACTTTTACATAAGTGAATAATTTTCATTGGCTATAGATTTCTCTAGACCAATTGCAATGTGAAAATCTTATTGATCGTTCTAGAACCCAAGCATAACAAACATAACAATAAAAAATGTTCACTGTGGTAAAAGAAATAATAATTTGATCTAAGTAAGGGTATATTTTTCTTCCTGATTCGTAAAAAATCCTTATGTGATAGAAAAAAATGAATATTATTTTTGAAATCTGCATAGCTGAATTATGGAAAATCCATTATTAAAACCAAAACAACTTATATGAAGTTTAAATTCACAGGCCTGTGTTATCAGCCAAAGAAAAACTCATTAATTCAAGTTGATACACAGAATGATGTTAATATAAAACAATATTCAGGTTATACTACAGAAGTCTATATTTTATATTTAATTTCAGTAAGTTGTAAGTAATAATTTTGTTATTGGACACATTATATATTTCAGTTCTTCTGAAAATATATTATAACAAATAGTATCACACCATCACATGAACTGTGCAATTTCCAAATGATAACTAACTACCACTATATACATAAAAACATCTAATATATAAGCACAAGAATGAATAGCCAACATTAATTAAAATTAATGGTTATAATGTGTTCAATATTATGTCTGATGAATTCTGTTCAGTCTTAAATAAACATAGAAACATATCACTAGGAATGCAGTTACATAATTAATTTACTGTATTTTATCTGTTTATTTCAAAATACAATATTCCAAAGTACAGAAGCAGCACACACACCCAACAGAAACAAGTCTCTATCTGGGATAGTTATAGTATCTAAAGAACTAAGTTTAATCCAAGCAGGTGAAGATATAACCAAAAAGTTCATTTTTAATACACACTATATCAAACAGAAAGTAATGTTAATATCATACCAAAACTCAACCAAGTTACATGAATTAAACAACCTCCGACATAAAATACTAACTTATTTGCTTGAATACTGCAAGTTTAGCAGCTGGATTACTGATGTTAGAACAGATGATAAGAAAAAGGGTAATTCCAATGTTGCTTTAAACAATGTTTGATTAGTAATAATAGTAATCAATAAGATTATGAGTAATGGGTTAAAACCATGACTCTACAAAGGTATAATCTTAGAAAAAATAAAATAAAGAAATTTCAGTGCTTCTTTTACACACATGTAAGAAAATAAATGGAATATATGTTCTTTTTACACCAATAATAGTTAGTATGAATGATAATCGCGTGATCACTGTTTGAATTTCCTTACCTGCACAGGTTGGACAACACTGTCCTTCAGGCACCACTGTGTTTATACAGTCTGGTGTATCACAAACAATAGAAGAACAAGTTACGGTGCCATCCTGTAGCATTGAATTAAAGATTACATACACAGAGAAATATTCAAGTTAATGTCAAATGTATTCACACCTTTATGGATGATTTATTATTCCTCTATTTGGAATGAATAATGTTACTAATTTTATCATATTAAAATAGTGGGTTATCCAAAAACAATAGTTACCTAGTTTGTTTGTTTTTAATACAATGAATAATTTTAGTTAAAACTTCAGTGCCTAAAACTAAATCAAAAACTTTTTACACACATAAAAGGGGTAACTTTACGTTTCACTTTTAAATTTCAAAACTATAAAACATCCTGACAATGTGTAGAAAGAAAATTATATTCTTAGTTCAAGTTAGACAGTAAACTAAATCACTCAGTAACTGTTGCAGAAGTTGACACACTAGGAAGAAAATGCAAAAGAAATGTGAATATTGATTAGGTTTCTTCCACATTTGATTCCTTTTCAATTTGTAACATCACTATTTTCAAACTTCTTTATAACTTATATTTGTATCCAAATGAAATTACTAAACCTTTAGGCTTACAACAGTTTTGTACCTTTTGAGAGACTATGAAATTAAATCCTCCAAATGAAATAACAGGCAAAGGAAGTGTATCCAAGAATGCAGAAGATAATATCTATATCAAATGTTTTCAATCTCATGATAGGTCACCAAGTTTGCTGACTGAGTGGCTGCATGACTCCTAACTCTTAAAAAAATCAAAAACTCGCACAAAAGTAGCTCAAGAGTGGTAACAGCCTAGTGTAGAGTCTAAGAACTAGACTTAACATCTTACTTTAGTTAAAACAGATGATGCAAGGATGTTACCCAATCAGAGACCATTTTACATTTTGAAACTGTGATGAATATGCTAAGTGAAGAAGACATGCATGCAAGCTTGATTATCATACAACAGTCATGTTTAGCAGGTTAAAAAAATAGTTTTTTTTTCCTTTTTCCTATATATAGCTTAAACTGTGCTGTTCTCTTACACTGAGAGTAAGACTTTAACAAAGGTGGCTCGAATGTGATGCACGTGTACACGACATGTCATAGACCTAGCCTAGCACCTTGTGGCCAGATTTTTAAGTAGCATTTGGTGATTACTGTATTATTGGAAAGAAAAACTAAATGGATAAAATAAAGAGCTCTAGAAAAATCAAAATAGAAAGTATAAAAATTAACACATTCAAGGTTGAAGATGAAACAAAACAAAAACCTTGATTTCACATTAAAAGATGTGTGAAGATAAACATTAAGAATGTCTATCTTTGATATTGAATGTTTCTGAAAAGAGGGCATGGCACAACTCCTGTAACTTGAATGTTAGAAAAATAAAAAACTAGGTGAGAACTGAGAAAATTAATAACTGAATGCCAAAAATAAATAATTTTGAAAAAGATACTAAAATACATAATACTTTGGAGAATACATAAAAATATACATTTATGTTTTCAAATATAAATTTCTCTAATTCTTTAATAACTTGTAACAATATGGTAATATAACAAACTATATACAAATGAATGCATGAAATGCTTTTGCCTCTTAAAACACTAATGTCACAAGCTTTCAATGCAATAATTAATGAAAACAACAAAAAACATATACCTTACTTAAATTATCCAAACAATAAAAGGGCTTATCTGGGTCATAAGTGGGGATTTAACTTAAAATCCAAAATACTTGGTTGGTTATGACAAAAAATACAAAAGAAACTTAAGTCCTTTGAGCATTTAAAACTAGAGAGATAACGAAGAGGATCAAGACTCTTTGAAATTTAAAATCATCTTCTTTTTTTATGTGTGCATATTTTTACAAGTTCTTGTTTTTATTAATTGTTTGTTAAAGACTTATTTGGTCAAGTTAAAGAGTCTGTTTTTTTTTGTTTTGAACAAACAGATATTCTAGGTTTTAATTGTAAACTCCACTAACATGCAAACTAAACAGTAACAAAATAATTTGAACAAAGCAGACCTTACAAATACATTCTTGACAAGGGTATTCTAAAAACTTTTGTCCCTCTCTGTACTCCTTTCCATGATATGTACAGTCTGAGCATTGAGGACAACAGTGACTAGGATCAATTATAGGGTGTGAGCAGTCAGGACATTCTAACTTTGTGCAGTGAACAATACCTTTCTGAAATGAAACAAAATATGATGTCTCTTATATGCAAGTGAATTTTTTTTAGTTTAACTCATACGAAAAATAGCTGTTTTAGTTATATCAAGATAATTATACTATGAAAACGATAAAGAGGGGTTACATCATGAAAAACTAATTATTTCTTTATGAGTATATGAGTTTGATTTTTCACAGGAGTATTGTGATGAAATGGTGTATTCATAAGTGCACACAACTTTACATAAATAATTAAGTACTGTACATATAAAAATTGTATAACCAAATTAAATTGCAGCAATCCTGCTAACAACTCACATAATCATACATGCACATACCAATTCATTATTCACACTCATAACATAAAATGTTGTCTGATCAGTTCTACTGGATAAAACTGCTCAATGTTCTACAAAAGTCCACAAAACAAAACTATTGTGTTCAAATCGTACAGTCTTTACTGGGAAAGCATAACTATTTTGAGTCCCATATTTAAAAACATGCTAGTACATTTAACTGAAGACTTCTCACAGAATCCAAATTACAGGAATAAAGTAAGAAAATGTTTTAAATTGTAAAGTAAATATGAACATAACAGTAAACTACACCAAGAGGTTCAACACTACTCTAGGCTCTCCGGTAAAATCTGATCAATCCAAGTTTGTTTATAACATTTGCAGTAAACAATTAAAATAAAGAATTCTATTTGTATCTAAGTTTTAAACAGAAGGCAAAATATACAATGAAATGCATATGTAAATTAATACTTTGTTCAGGTAAGTCATTGTTTAAGATCTAAAGTGTTGTATGAAACAGTTAAAACAGTAAGGCCTATTCCATTAAGAATGAGATGTCTGACATATTTAATGATAAGTTTCTTTAAAAAGTTTTGCAGTTCTAATGACAATTTTGAACTTTGTTGCTATTATACTCCACCATATAAAGCTGACATTAATACTGTCAAGTTTTAATAAAACAGATCACACAGTATACAGTAGTATATATGAACCATGCTTAGTGTGCATTATAGTTTCGGAAATTATGACTATTGGGGGGGGGGATAACCTTCCATTATATTTTTTTTTCTTAAACTGAAGACCTATATGGCCACGTATGTATGCATACCTAATCAAACATTCATTTAAAAACTTCATTTCTATAATTTCATCTCAAACTTAAAGTTACTAAAACATAGTATTCTGCCCACACAATAGAGAGATATGTCAAAAGAAGTATTAAAACTTTTTATAATTACATCATATATATATATTTTATACTGTATCCATGATATCAGGAAAACATAGGTTCAGGAAATCAATAAACTAGAAATACAAAATTTTATAACCCAAGTATTTTCAAAAAGTGGACCTTTCTTCATCACAGAGTCTACTCCTGATGAATGAAGGTCCATCTTTCAAAAATACTTGGAATATAGGGTTTTTGTATTTAATTTTTACTGTAAATAATCTTCATTTCTGTTTCTTACTGATATGTCTAGAATATTAACTAAAAACAGGTTCTAACTACTGATTAGAACATGCTTTGTTTTAAAAGACATTCAAACATATTTTCTAAGTAATTAAATGTAACTTTTATAAGAATGTCTTTTCTTGAGATTAGTAGTTGCAGTTATAGATAAGATGTATACTCTTGGTGCATGCTGTGTAGTGCTGTTACAACTTGTATATCTTGTATATATTATTTGGTATTCTAAACCACCAGATACAGGTTCTGAAAATTTTCATAACAGTAGTGGTTAATAGTTTGTTTCATGTGGTTCATAATACTAGTGCAGGAAAGGGTTTGGTTTGAATTTCCTGCAAAGCTACACAAGGACTATCTGTGCTAGCTGTCCCTAATTTAGCAGTGAAAGACTAGAGGGAAGGCAGCTAGTCATAACCACCCACCGCCAACTCTTGGGCTACTCTTTTAATCAACGAATAGTGGGATTGACAATCACAATATAATGCCCCAATGGCTGAAATGGAGAGCATGTATTGTGGGATGGGGATTTGAGCCCCTAACCAACTGGCTATGCCATGCTCCAGGAAAAGGAGCATTTGAAAATGGTACGTTGAATAAATAAAAAAACAAAAAACTTGCTTCAGGTAATTATGATTATTAACTACAAAATTATCAAAAAAAGTTCTGCTGGGTAGTATGGTAAAGTCTAATGAATAACACAAGTATACAGGCATATATGTTTCTTTTATATATGTAACACTAATTAAAAAAAAGGAAAAGACTTATCACTGATTAACTTCTAAGCACAAGCAAGCCAAAGTTTCTAACTTAAAGTTAAAATTAGTCAGAACAAAAAATATCTTAGTAAAGACAGACTAGCAGTAGTAATTAATGATAAATATGAAAGCTAATAACTAGCTGGTAGCTAGAGAACACTAATAACTGCATTTATATACCAAAAATAAAATAACAAATTTAATTTCCTTGATCATCTAATGATAAAATAGTGTGTTAGGTAAATACAACTTGCTAGAGTTAACTTAATGACAGCACATTAAGAATTTGATATATCAGAATATTTATGAGCATTTGTATTGTAAGAAACTTGTAAGTTAGAATTCAGATCTAAAAATTCTGTCAGAAATATCAAATAAGACATGTAACTTACAACACACAAACATTTTTGGCATCTTTGAGTAGATGTGAATTCTTCCCCATCCCCATACTTCACACCTTCGTAAACACATGGGCCTTCACAAACAGGGCAACACTCATCTTGTGGGGTAAACTGAAGAGGACAGGACAGGTGTGGACATCTCACTGGTTTACAAGACACATTACCAGCCTAAGATGAGGATTTCCAAAATAATACATCTTATCATTAACATTATGCACAAGAAATTTAAAAATTAATTTAACATGTTTTTATACTTGTGTTTAAGAAAACAGACATACTCTTAAGACAGCTTAAAATTTCCCTGTTGAAATGAGACAACATACAATCACAGATTTGTAAGTCTTCATATTTACACAATTCCATGGCTTAAAATTAAGTAACAGCTAACTGGTGCTGAGTATGTAGCAGCCAAAATGGGGTGGGGTGGAGACTTTTTTTTTGTAAAAGGTGGGATAGACCATCTGCTTTGATGGATCAATATTATTCACAATTCTGATAATATGGTCATATGCACAACTTTTAAAACAGTTTAATAATTTGAACAATATTATTTGTTTTGTAACCATGTGTAATAAATAAATGATGCTCCTGAATTTTAGGTTACTTGAGTCAATAATTAACAATTAACTTCAAGTTGCACTCCTTGTGTTACCCAGAGAGGTCATTACCAGTAAAAGAGGATTGTACACCAGAGTAAGAGCACTGATAATATTTTATATAGTTGCAGCAGTAACAGTTTAAAAGAAAAACAAACTGGAACTCATGTTTGATGTCAAGAATAAGAACATAAAGAGCCACCACTGCTTACAACTGCTTAATAATGACTTCAAATAATAGTCCTGTTTGAGTTGTAAACAAGAAGGAATCCTCAATAGCCATGGCTGTAATTAGATCACAAATCAGTCAAGAGATGGAGCTAAGAGCTAAAAGTTTGTACTTGAAAAAGCAAACCAACTCAGAGCCATTCTATGAGCCACTGTGTCATGGCTAAAAATGACTTTGTAGCAAGTGTTAAAAGTTTAACTCTTAACCCACTTTGTAGAGCATTGTGAATCTAAGTTGAATGGATGGCAACTGCCTGTTGTAGAAACACAAGTGCAAAGGACAATGTTTCAAAAGTCTTCCTCCTTTTGTCTTCAGGTCCTATCATCCAAACTCAATAAAACATGATATAATCTAATGCCTAAACAAGAGAGCAGAAAACATTTGCAATAAGACATCCATCGAAACAGAATGCCAAAAGATCATAAGAGTTCTTTAAATAGGATGGTTACACCTACTCCTTCATCAAAAACTACCTGATAAAGACCACAACAGAAAGAAAGAAAAGATGAGAAAAACACTACCACTACTGCCATTTACCTCCCCTACTTGCAAAATTTCAGCAAAAACTCAAATGCATAGCCAAGAAATTCAACATACATATCTGGTGGAAATCTTGCAAGACATTACGGTCCATTTTGGGGAAAAACAAACAGAAACCTACCAATGAGAAAACAAAAACTTCATTTATGAAATTCTGTGTTCCTGCAAAAAAACAAACATTGGAGAAACAGGAGGAAGACTAGCGACAAGAATAAAAGAACATAAAAATAGTACAAGACTTCTGAAAACACAAAATTCAGCCATTACAGAACACATCATGTTAAATGGATGCAAAATAAACTGAGAAAAAACTAGAATCATCAACATAGATAAATTTTGGAAGACAAGAAAAATTAAATAATCATTTTACATCAACACAATAAAACCTTCACTAAACACAGATTCCGAATTAGAGGTGAGTAACCTGTGGCTACCATTGGTTGAATCTACTGGAAGTCTCTCCACCAATCAGAAACATGGATGAACAAACCAATCATAACATGCTCTCAACAATTCACCAGAATACTATAAAGACAGACAGTACCATACACACACACTGACACTTAGTTTCATCATGAATACTCTGCCTAAACAATTTATCAAAGAACTGTAGAACATTCACATGAAGTAGGACAGGTCTAGGGCTCAAATCCAAGATGAGGAAATATATTGTGAAAAAATAACATTTATAACACTAGCATCTAACAAGTGACCATCCCATGACACTAAAATAGGGTCTGAACACAGGCCTTGTTTGTGGAATGGGAAAATATAGTAGCTTGAGTTGTTAAAAAGTGCCTTACTAGGAAATGCTAAGAGGTTAACCCTTTAGCTCAGGTGGCAGAGCACTTTTTGGCATATGACAGGCCTCAGGGTCAAATCCAAGGTTAGGAAATATATCATAAAAAAATATAAATCACCACAGTCCTATAAAGTTACAAGAGAGATTAAACAGAGATATCTAGGCCTATCTGAACACCAGAAAATTCAATATTCTCAAAATACTGATCATTAACAAATATATAACTTTTAAGTTCTGCTGTAATGAAATACTAAGTTTTACTTAAAATAAGTCTCCTGTGTGTACAAGAACTTTACACTGTAAAAGCCTGATATTTTGTCCTTCACATTCTCATCTGATTGTGCCAGAGGAAACTGGAGTTAAGTACTGGCCTTATATGTCTTCCAGGAGAGAAAATGATTAAGTTAAATAATTAAAGATACTTCAAAGATAATTCAGATATTTTCAACTACTGAGGTTCATTAATGTAATCACCTCAACTGAAATAACCAGTAAAAACTGAATTTGACAATGCATACTCTAAAATATAAAACACTGTAAAATGTGATTAAAAAAAGACTACATCACTTAGAGCAATTTGACTAATCCTAGTTCTCATTTTTGAACCAATATTTAAATAATAAAAGTATACATTTACAAATTATTCTTAATACTATAAAAACAGTGGTAGCTTGCATGCCATTAGTAACAGTAATAATACTAATAAATACAATATTAAATTGATACTTTTGGTCACTTCCCAAGATACTTTTTATCCATGCAATTTAGTTTTTAACCCAGTAATTGGGTTTTTTAAGTAAATGTACTAATTTTGAACTGTAATTTTAATTATTTATAATTTTTTAAGCTTTTTTTTTAAACTTCCAAATACTTATGGTGATACCGATAAGCATATTTTTTTAATAAATGCCTCCTGTTAATCTCATAATAATAAAATATGTCCACAATATACAAAATTACCATACAACATAATAGTGCAACCATTACAACATATAGATATTTCAATTAAAGAAGTTTAAAGTGTTGGAATAAAAACTGCTACTAGTGTATACAGATTCTAAGCATGTGTGTGGAAGGAGCTGAAGTAACATTGGTTGGAAGTTTATTTTACTACAGTCCATGTGAGAACAACTGTAATAGTTCAGTAACATACTTGGCATCTGCATTTACTACAGGAAGTTTGAGGATCTTCAAATGTTGTTCCATGTGACCATCTTTGTTCATGAAACAGACAATCATAGCACTCTGGACAGCAATGGCCATGAGCAGGATTCTGACATGCTACAAAAGGGCAAGCTTTTCTATGACACTCAACTGTCTCATTCTGTCAATAATAAATTTTAAAAAAATCAAATAATAAGGTAACTTATCACCACTGATTTCATACAATTTATTACTATTATTATATTAAAAATTGATCACCAAAAACTAGACATTTCAACAAAACTAATTATTTCTAATCCAAAAGGGCAACTAATGTATGTCAAACTATCACATTGCAATATATCAATTTTCTAAGATGTATAATGATAACTATAAAGGAAATCCAATGTTTAAAATGATTATATCTTTATTAACTATTTTCCTTGGAGCTACACTGATTATTATTGGACATGAGATAAAGGGGGTTTAAACCAATACTTAAATCACTTTTCTAGCAAACTAGTATTGCTTGCAGTTCTATTTTTTTCTTTCCCTTTCAACAATATGAGATTGGTGATTTGAATGAAGCAGATGTCACTATACAGAATTGTGTGACTGTTGTCTGACAATTTTGCTTAATTAGCCAAAAGGAAATTCTAAAGAATCCTCATTTTCGTATAAGTAGTTTAAGGCCATTAAAAGACTAATTTGTGAAAAAAAGGCTCCTCCTTCTGATTGTTCATTTGTACTTGTAAAAACAGAATATCCAACACGAATCTGAGAAACATCCTTCTGGAGCAGCCAGTAGACAAGATGTATGTGAGAACTTTATCTTTAGGTGTGTACAGCAATAAAAAGTTTGTGATCCACTAATTTAACTTGACTTTGCAATGGGTTTTGACCAGGTTGATAATCAATGACATATGACTAGAAAACATCCTTTGGACAGATAATCCCCCTTCTTGAATATGTTAATTTAATAGATGTTGTCATCTTCACTTATTAAAATCCACAAGCAGTTCATCAGCACTTTATCCGCTATCCTTATTTGTTTGAAGCTATTAATAACAACTGTGCCCAGACTATTTTAATAACTAGGGTCCATTATGAGAAAAATGTTGAAGAACCACATTATCCTAAACCTGGATGAGCAATACGTTGAGATCATTACCATCCAAGTGCATGAGGCAAACCTTGAGATTTATTGTCCTGTAGGAGATACTTTCAGTGAAGACATAATTATAAGCCATTAATTCAGGAAGAATGTTGTTAAGATATTACTATACTGCCCATATACACTGTGATATCTTAACCTTCTGAGGACTTAAAGAAAGAGTGTCTTTTGAACTTACCCAATCCATTATTTTTATCAAGAAGATAGATGGATGATTAAAGAATAGGCAGTTCTGCACTTTTACCATGATCAATCCAAGTATTTAATCAGGATCTGTAAAGTTGTTTATGCTAAGAGCACAGTTTGAAATGAGGTAATGCTCCTTCTGCCAGGCATAAGGGCAACATTATTTCACACATTTCTACAAGTTCACTATTTCCAATGCCACAGCCAAGTGACATCAATATCTTATGGTTGAAAGTCATGTTCTCAATAGCAAGAAAATAACTTATTAAAGAATATTATAAAGATTACATTCCAGATTCTAAGAATCCAAAACAAAAAAATTTGCTAAAAATGAACCTGATTATATACAATCAGTAATACAGTTTCTATACAAAATAAAACAATAAGCTATTCTCAAACCCAATTCATAATTCTCTATACAATTAGGTTTCTAATCAGTAAACACTACCAGAGGGGTTGACTATTTCAAATACTGTCCACACCATTACCACATACACTGATACTTGTCCACTTTTACAATTAGACATTTTCAACATGCTTTTCTATGAATTGCCTAAGCTGTCTTTTTCCACTAATTTGGATATAGTTTACCTCCAGAAAACGGAGGTAATTCTGAATACACAAAAATATACAGTATATCGTTTCCTAAAATTGTTTAGACAGACAAAGCAGAGTATTTATATTGAAATATTAATTTAATAATGTACTGGCAATGAAAACCAGAGAAACATTCAAAAACGTATGTAGTAAAATGTAATTGCTGAACCTCTTTTAAACAAATAGGACTTCGCAAGATTAAGATAAAATACTTTAGTAGTGAATTCCATTTGAACTGCCGTGTCATAAGATTATTCATCTTATTACACTAGAGGGTATTTTCAATTATTATGATGAAAATAGATAAGTATTTATAATACAGTATTCATATAGTAACTGAATTAATCAATAAGATTACTGTGAAGTATCATAAGCTTAATGTAATATCAATAATATATAAATACAAATCATCAATGGAAAATATTGCAATAATTATCTTATAAAAGCATATTTTTTAGTGGTATTGGTTCACAAATTGTGTATGTTCAAGTTTTAATAGATTCTTCTAATTCTTAAGAATGAAAAGTTGTGTGTGAAGCTAATGCATTGTTCTCAGGGATGTATATCAAAGGCTTCAGTATATATATGTAAGCTAAGTCTTTTATATCTGGACGTATTATTGGATAAAACATCTACTTAAAAACCATGTATAAACTAAGAACAAGTGGACAGCACAATTTGGTTTCTTAATTCATTAAGGCTGACTTTTAATAACAAGAATTTGTGTTCCTTCACCTTGAATCTTTACATAAAAATCAAAGTTATAAAAATAATGTAATATAAGATAATAGCAGTTCCTTGTTTTTCTGACTGTTGTAAAGTTGTTATTTATGAATGACTAAGGATTTCTATGCTCAGTTTGATGAATATTTTCATGTTATATTGACTACTTTATATATTAGACCATTTGAAATTAGCACTGGACAACATAAAATTATAAAAAAAATTAAAATTTATTCAGTGTGATGAAATGTCATTTAATGCAAAATATCAAGTATAGTATCTTTATGAGTGTGTATTGAATTAGTCAATCTTGGCTGACTATAACGTGACAAAATTCACACTTCTTATCATGTAGTGCACATTTCAGTATATTTTTGTTTAGAAAGTAGAAAAGTTGTTAAGTAAAACCAAAAACCTAACACGTAAAACACCTGATTCTCAGCTATACAATCCTAAGGATAACAAAAAACACTGAATATATAACAATGTGTAAACAATCCATTTTCTTAACACTTAAACTCCAACAGTGAAACCATACTTTGCCACAGTTCCATGAAAAAATAATACAGCAAGAAATATCTGAATTTTGGTGTAAAGTATTCTTGACATCCATTTGGAAAACAAAACTAACAAGGCTATGGATACCACCATAGTATAAGACTTCACAAGCAAACATGAGACCAAATTTAGAAAGTAATTAATTATGTATCATCTTTTTTGTTATGTTAGTTTATATTCATTTCACTTCCTATAATTAGCAGATAACTTATCCTAAACAGAGACAACTTTTAACATAACATCATTACTTAAACAGATCAATTCTTGACATAAATTGAAAATTCTTCTAGAAAGTTAACTGTATAAAACAGAAAAATTCAAGATAGATTACAATCCCCCATACCGAAAATGTTAGATTAAGTAATAATTAAATTACATCAATCATGCTCTTCATATAGGAACATCTTTATAAAAACTTCTATATCCACACCAACATAAATATTGTTTCTATGATGGAGACTCTGCCCACTAAAGTGACTGAACCCTCTTCCCCACTATATATATAATCCTGGGTCCAATGAATAAACATACTGCACATATATATATGCATACACACTTCAATAATTACATAATAAAAACATTTATATTGGTGTTAAAAAATATTTAAATAAAATTTTATTATTTCATTCCTTCTAACTTTACAATCACAAATGAGTACTGTATAAGTCACTTTGTAAGTGAAACATTTATTTCACAATACGGAATTTACTCGGTAATTCTACCTTCAAGAATAACTGAACAGTTATCATATTAAAAAGTTGACACTAGCAACAGTAATATTACTGATACCTCATCTTGTCTATCAATTCTCATATTCTTATTTTTCTTCATGATAGATATTGGTACCACCATCTGATCTATTTTCTTTTGTTTTTGAAAATGTCAGTTTCATCTGATACTGATTATATAGCCATGGATCAATACAATAAGACACAATTAAGTCTTACCCAGCAGAGACATTCCTTACAACTGTCTGTAACATGCGGAAAGGTAGTACCATTTTCCTTTTGTTGGTTACCATACATGCAAGCACCATGACACTCTGGACAACACTCTCCCTGTTTAGGACTAATGCACCTTACTGGTGGACAAGGTTTAGCAGAACACTTCACGGTTCCTTTCTGAGAAAAACGTGAAATAATAAGTACTTCAAAGCATGCATATTTTCTATATGCAGTAGTTTTATTTTTCATATAACATTGCTTTATAAATATACTAGCAACTTACTAGCCTGAAAGCTTGTTTTATTAATACTAACATCTGTGAAATGTCAAATAAATTGGTCACCCTTATAATTCTAAAGATTAGTGTTCTAAAAAAACCTGTGTAAAATACTACCATATACAGGAAAACAGTCTGAATATATTAACAGAATTGTTTCACTTCTGGATAGAGTTCATCCACGAATTCAAATCCATTTATTTTGAAACAGGTTTTTAAATTGGGAAATTTATTTTCCTTTAAAGTTGTTATTCCAAAAATCAAAAGGTCTTACAATGTTTATAAGATCATGTGCCCTTGCTACCAGAAGAAACAGTTAAGGTCACCCACCAGATGAATGTCATAATATAAAGAAAGAAACCTGCAACAGGTCTACACCAGGTGTGGTAAGCAAAATGCAGTCTTGTAACAGTTAAGGTCACCCACCAGATGAATGTTGTAATATAAAGAAAGAAACCTGCAACAGGTCTACACCAGCTGTGGTAAGCAAAATGCAGTCTTGTAACAGTTAAGGTCACCCACCAGATGAATGTTGTAATATAAAGAAAGAAACCTGCAACAGGTCTACACCAGCTGTGGTAAGCAAAATGCAGTCTTGTAACAGTTAAGAATCTACAGAGTGTCCAAAAGTCTGAAACCATAGGTGACTTGCAACTGTTCTTAATTTCAACTACATTACTGATTATAGCACTGTCAAAGCATAAGAAGGTTAAGTTAATCCTGCTGTTAATCCAAACTTATTTAGAATTACAAGGACAGCATGTTGAAGCCATACTGTAAAATTTGTTAAATTGCCTTTGGCTCCAGATTTTTTGGACACCCTGTACAAACACAGAAGTCAGTGGCAAAGGTTGTCCATGTGCATTAGACAACAGTATAGAAGGATCTCTGTCTAGGAACAAGGACAAGAGGAAATGGATTCTCCAAGATAAGGCTTCTAGTCATACCTCTCTTTAATCTGTCACAGAATGAAATAGATATTCATGCTAATAATGGCTGGAGACGGCTTAAATGGGTAATGAAGAAAAACTTTAATATAAGTTTAATATAAGTTGCTGTCATGTTAAACTTATATTAAAGT